GATAAATAATAATGAAGCGCTAGTTGTAGAGAGGGCATTTCTTGGTTGCAGTGTCCCAGAATCCCTGCTAACGTTTTATCCATTATAATTAAACCAAGTTTTGTGGAATTCGTTGAGAATTTTTCTAAAAAAATTTTTATGATTTTACAATGCTGAAAACGTATAATTTCAGACAATTCACTGAATACATTCCTCTCTAAAGTGTAAATTAACGGTAACGGTTTTGAGACACCGCAACTAAGAAATTCACTTTCTGTACCCAACGCCTCGAATACTAATTAATGTATTATTCTACTTTCATTTACAATCATTGTTTAATTTGTAATTTTTATCTCAGTTTTATTAAATTTGCTTTAGATGTCAGAGAAAAGGTAAAAAACGAGGCCGGATTACGTCTCTCTTATCTTCAACTGTGTTGCTCACTTGTCCCTCGAAGCACGAGAACGGAAACGAACGAGATACAAAGCAGAGAAAAGGACGCGCGTTGATGACGGCGCAGAGATACAACTATTCGTGCTTGATGGATGTCCGTGTTGTATCTCAAAAAATTGAAGGAGCTTTGGCGCGAGGCGTCGTGAACTCGCACTGCTCCGCTCCGCGTATGTTGCTCACGTGGTGTTGGCCAGATTTTGGAGAAAAGTTCAAAGAACAAGGACCGAATACCCTCTCGTATCTTTGGTTGCGTTAATACTCGATTTTCTTTTTTTCCAGTTTGATGTCTGATTTTTTTTTCGATGTATATGATGCCTTATATGTAACAATGGCGGATGTGAAAAATTACATTTTCGAAGCACGCTTAAAAAACTGTTTTGTTCACACAAAAATTTAATATGTTTGGCTCTGGCATAATGTACAGATCTCGAAGATCACATCTCAAGTATTTTCTCAAAATTTTCTCGATGCCAAAACAGTTTTTTTAATGTGTTTCGAAAAGGTCATTTTTCACATCCGCCATTGTTACACATAGGTCCTCATATGTATTTGTAGACGGTAAAAATCATTTGCATTTGTACGGCTTTGTTAATAAAAAGCGCCGTATGAGCCTTCGAATGTTGCCAAATTGCCTCTCTGAATATATGTCTTTTTGAGTAACTTTATAAGTATTTTTCTTTGACATTTTCAGACACTTCAGATCAAAAGCAATACTCTCCGAAAAAATTAGAGGAAAAATATTCACAGATTCACCCGAAAATTATTGATTTGTCGAAGGCGATTTGGACGTATTTCTACCAAACGGAACTATGTGCATTAAGATATGAGCCCTGAGCCTCATGAGCATGTATGCATGACAGGGCTCACGTCACGATGAACATAGTTCCGTTTGACAGAGATACGTCCATTTGGCAACGCCTGAAGGCTCATTTTTCCTTATCACGGCAGTGTAGACTTATATCAAAAGCTCGTACGTAATTGCCCAGTATTAGAGATTATAATTTACGTAAAGTTCTTTTAAGTATATCATATCACTAACGGGGCGTAAATGATCGATTATCGATATTCCCCATTTGTAGCTATGGTATAAAGAATCGATTATTAAGCTTTTCGGTGCAAACACCCTATTCATCGATCCTATTCCATAGGTTTAAATGGCAGATCAATCGATACATCGTAAAAGCACGCCAGGCCGCTGTATCATAATCATTCACGCCTCTTGCTGGCGAAAATACCTTGATGAACTCAGGGCAAAATACATATAGTCATTAAAAACAACCTTCACGTTTTGTTAATAACACGACCTTGGTTTCATTGACATTTTTTCCTCTTTTAGTACTCCTCTTTTCTCCCCTTTGAGCTTCTTCAAAAAACGTCAGCACATGGGAAAATTCCACCATCGTAAAAAATCCGGGGATTAGTTCAGAGCTCAATTTGATTCGAGTGAAAAGCTTGAATTGAGTAGACAAGAACCGTAATTGTCTCACTTTTTCGTTGAACTAGCGGGCTACGTCCCCTGAGCACTTCACGGCCCAGCCCCTTTGAGCGCTTCGCGCCTAAGGTGGTACGCTTTACGTTAATCTTATGATAGAGTAAAATTTGGAATCTTTTAATGCGTTCAATTACTCAGCGTTCGATAATTTCGAACTTCGATAATCGATATCGAAATTTCGATAAAAGGATACATGTCGATTGTGAAACTGTAGAATAGCGTATCTCAGTTAGCAGCGTAGCAGACTTCCTCTCATACTTGATCTTCTCCGTAAAAAATTGCTGAACATAATTTTTTGGAAATGTCAAATGTCAGTGATTTTTCCTCTCTTTATGAAGACATAGGCATAATGTTCATCCGGTCTCTTTTGAAAAAATAAGATAGGAGCGGAGATTTCGAAACGTCGCAACCGAGATATGCATTTTGACAGTTTAACCGTCAATATGATGCGGCTATTAATTTTGTACTTTGTCTGGTGGTCCATTTCATTAAATCGAAATCGATGAAAGCGATTTTATCGAATTGGAAAAAAATAATAAAATAAGTCATTCTCGCACCGAGAGTGTATGAATGAATTCATACTTATCGAACAATCGAAACCTGTCTGTGATGCAAGTCCAATTTAGTTCATCATAGTCTTCGCACACTAATGGATTCCCTGTAAAAGTCGGGATTATTTTGCGATTTAAAAATTCGCGGAAATGTAATGGCACCACAAATTCGTCAAAATTCAACGAATAAGCTTCACACACCCTCAAAGTTTAGGATATAAGCCGGTACTGTATATAAAATAGGAAATTCTAATTCCGAGTCATTTCAAATACACCATGCATAGCTAAATACGTCGGTAGGGTTGCCAAATTTCCTTCGATAAAACAGGAATTTTCAGGGAAATCTGTGAATATCCCCCCCCCAATTTTTCTTAGTTTTCAGATCAAAATTACCTGAAAATTGTAAAAGAAAATACTCGTAACTCTACTCAAAATTACCGGAAAATTGTAAGAGAAAATACTCGTAACTCTACTCAAAATACTCTACTCAAACATGATTTTGTTGGAGGAAATTTGGCAACTCCCGAATGTTTATACGGCGTTTTTTTCGTAGTACGGTAGAGCAGACAACGTCTGATATTGGCGAACTGAGTCTGGCCAAATCTGTTCAATCGGACTGCGTTGCGTGCGTAATGAGGAACTACTTTTCATTAGAAAATAGTTCCCTGTGATGAAAAATGTAGTCTAATTGAGTGTTGACGGCAACGCTCAATTCAATATCCGACCCCATTCTACACTTGCGCATAAGTACGTAGGCAGTTAGGCACTCACAGTGGGGGAGATGGGATTAATGCATTCGAAGTTCCAATATATTTCGGTGTAGCGGTGAACTTTCCAAATTGAAGGTGTAATCCCTCGACCTTCGCCGCTAACACGTTACGTCAGCCCTCAAAATTAATCGTCGAAAAAAAAATCCATGCCGCATGCGGCACCTACTTACATTTACGCCCGAAGCAAAAACGTCGCAAGTCCGTTCTAAACATGTTCGATTCTCTTCTCAAGAAAGACATTCTATCGGAAGAAAAGCGACGAATATTTGTCCTCACACAAAGGTCAACAAGCAAGAGCTCTGATACGTTCGTAGGGAAACGCTCGGCTGTTTTCTATGTGCGCGCGTTTTTAAGTTCCCCGAAGTAAGCACCGATGAGCACCGTTGAAATGAAAGAGCTCGCTCACCAAAATTTCAGTCATCAATTTTGAAAAAAGTGCACTTCCGCAAAAAATATAAATTATAGAAAAACGATTATCGTTCTCCGTGCTTTGACATCAGAAGAATCGAAGAAAGGTATGACAGGTTAATCTATTCTAATTATGTTGGGTCCCTCTCCGCTATTTTGTTGTTGAGCTGGTGCGTCATTTGAACGCATTATTGCCACTACTAAAATACGGTTTTTTTGCCAAAACCAAAAAAGACAAAAAAATCTCGAGGGTTTTTTTCTTTTCTTTTCCTTTTTTTTGGATGGATACGGCATATAGACCCTGTTTTCTCGACGTAAAATATGAAACGACGCCACAAATCGAAAAACACCATGACGCTGCATTTAAGAAAAAAATTCCCGCAACGGCCTCTCCTTTAAAAATCAAGCTCGGTTCCACGTCACTACGACGGCAAATGAAAGCTTACCTCATGATTTTTGACTCTTTTCTTCCGTTTCTTTCCCGTGAATTTCTGATCCGGCCTTTCTGAGGGATATCGCCGTACAGGCATTCAGACGTTGCCAAATTTGTAATGATAAAACTCGTATTCCCTCGAGAAAGTGTGTATATTTTTACTTTGAATTTCTTACAAAATTGATTTCATAATTTAATCTAAGGTACCTAAAAATGTAAAAAAATATAAAATTCATAAGTTTCCTCAAGAACGAATATATATTACCTAAGAAAATTTGGTAACATTCAAATATTTGTACGAAGTTTTTTTATTGGCATGGCAGCATGGAGTTCTTTTGTTACATGCTTTTACCTCTCTCACACCAACTGGATGTTCCAAGTGGATGAATCCGTTAGGGTAACTGCGAGTAAAGTCACTGATGTCTGTTCAGCGAGTGTCTATCCAGCAAGTGTAGAGGTTATTAATCGAAATAAAATTCAAAGCGGGTAAATTTTTTAAATATTTCTAGTCTGTACCTTCAAAACTGTACATCAGATCGTTAATTACTCAATAAATAAGTTGGGTCTGCCTCAGTTGTGGTACAACTTGACGATTTTTAGTATGAAGTATCCACCAATCATTAATATAAACTTCGAAGGATTCTGCCTNCTGTTCAGCGAGTGTCTATCCAGCAAGTGTAGAGGTTATTAATCGAAATAAAATTCAAAGCGGGTAAATTTTTTAAATATTTCTAGTCTGTACCTTCAAAACTGTACATCAGATCGTTAATTACTCAATAAATAAGTTGGGTCTGCCTCAGTTGTGGTACAACTTGACGATTTTTAGTATGAAGTATCCACCAATAACATTATACACATGTAACAAGTGTTTTTCAGTATGAAATATCCACCAATAACATTATACACATGTAACAAGTGTTTTTCAATGTGAGGAGCAAATTCCGTGTTTTTGTGCGTGTTTAAGGAATTTTAATTGCTTCATTTTCCTACCATTTTAACACAGTAAAATGGCAGTTTACCTGAATATATGGTAGCTTAATTGCGCACTTGCGTGCGTCAGTCTGACATACTTTTTATGATGAGTGATATAGGAGAGAAAGTGTGCAAAGCGAGTGAGGACCATCAAATGCGGCATTTTTCACGGGAAAGAGCTACCTCTCTCCTCACAGTTTATGTATTCTTGCAGAGTTGATAGCTGTGCAGCATGTTCCGTAAGTACGATTTTTCTTTTTTTCGTGAGCAAAGAAAGTAAATAAAGATGAGGTAGGTTCAAAAAGTTGCCGAAAAAATCTATTTTCGCGATTATACGTAAAGTTCGGGTCACCTAACCGTGGAAACCTACTGGTCAGTATGCCACTGCGTTTTCCTGAACCATTGTCACCGATTTCTGTTTGGTGATCTGCTCAAATGATAGCATGTCTACGAGAATCGTTGTGATGTGCGGTCTGAATTATAGTGATAATGGATTTGGCCATGGATTTTAAGTTTTCCCCTAGTCTGTAACAACCACCCGTGTCAACGCGCCTTTTTCCCCTGGTTTACGTTGTTATATCGATTTGTCTATGACTTTGTCTAACGCTTTATCTACAACTTTGTCCATTGCTATGCCTGTAGCTTTATCCACGGCTGTGTCTTTAAATTTATTTATCGCTTTGTCTATAGCTTTATCTGTCAATTTGAGCAATCAGCCCGCAGACCAGTGGGCCGATTATTGAAGTTTATAAACAAAACTATAGACAAAGAAGACATAAGACATAGAGCTATCCTATTGGTTGAAAAGGGTGGTTCTTATAGAGTAAGGGGGTAAATGATGGACTTACTATCGGGTCTCTTGTGGGTTGCCGTTAGTTCGTCTAATACCTACGTTCTTTGTCCATCGCAACCACCCGCTTCCACCAACAGGATCCCTCTATATCCTTTTTGTCTTTTTTGTCTATTCCTTTGTCTATCAATTTCAACAATCAGCCTAGTCTAACCTTACACAATAAAGCACAAGTAATCCATGTTTCATGTGTCTCTAGATCTGACTATCTGTCTCCTCGGAATTATGCTCCCAGTCTTGAAGGCGACTTCGGGGCCTCTTCTGGTTAAGGGGGCCATATACGTCGAGCCATTCTTGATAGAAAGCAATTGCCTCATCAAGAACGCAGGACCAAAGCACTCCTTTTACGCCATGACATCAGACTCTTTCTTCAACATCCTGCCAGACGAAGACTTGCACACGACAACGCCAAAATGGCTTCATCATACTCTCCTTACCCGGACGCCCGATTTGGTTCAAACGAATCAGAGGAGAACGGTAGTCGATACCGAGACAGCAATAGCGCTCGCTAAACGGATGATTGGAATGTATGTACTCGAATTAAATTGTTTTATTATAATGGGGTTATTGTAAAGAATTGATCGCTTTAATGACTCAGGGCTAATGAACGAAAATTCACATTTTGCTCCTTAGGGTTGAACCTGTTTACAAAAACCCCTCAGTGGAAAAAAAAAAACACATTGGATCTAGAGTCCAGACTCTTAAAAACATCGACAAGAAAAAGTGTTCTTGATTCAATCAGAATCTAGCTCGAGATCCAAGCCTCTTAATTTCACCGGATTTCGTTTTGATTCAAGCAAAAATCCGATTGAATCTAGAGTATTTTTTCTTGTCAATGTTTTCAAGAGTCTGGACTCGAGATCCAATGTGTTTTTTTTTTTTTTTTTCAGTGCTCGCCATGGAGCTACGGGCCACAGTAGAGCGAGCTATAATAGAGGAGTTCGAGCATGTACTTTTTGGCTAAAATTTCAAATTTCGATGTAATTTATACAAATTTAGTTTTGTGATGTGATGTAGGATAAGTCGGACAAACTCTGGAAACTTGGAAAGCATACATTTTCGAAAATATGAAGCAGAAAAGTTTAAAAGTGGTTCCATTGGTTTTTTTTATTTAATTTTCTTTCAGGACACCCCTTGAACTTGAATTTGTACAAACATACATACAAATTCAATTTCAAGGGGTGTTTCTGAAAGAATGTTTCGCGCAAAAACCTATATGGAACCACTCTTAAACTTTTCTGTTTCATATTTTCGAAAATGTAAGCTTTCCAAGTTTCCAGATTTTGTCAGATTCTCCTATCGATTCACTTCAATGTGTGGTCATGGTAATATCTGAAAAATAACACACTTTATCCCTAATTCCTTCTCAACCATGTGCTACCATGTATTTTTCAATTTTTTTTTTTGTCATTCTGCGGCTTAACACTACGATTCTAACTTTAGCAAAGAAATTGAGAGGTTTTCCTTATTAATGTTTGACTCGTTATGGGGAGCTTCTCGACCTAAAGTTATGGAAGGCCGTAAATTTTGTATAAAATTTAATTATGCCGCTAAATTTAATGAGAAAAAGAAAAGAAAAAAACACTTCCTCATTAACTATGTCCACTGACCCCCATTTAGATGAGCCCTGAGAAGTACGGAGTCATACGGAAAACAGGGTTCATTTCAATGGCGCACAGTGGATCGAGTCAATCAGAGACGTCGGACATGAAATGTTTGACTGAAACTTCAAAATTTGATGTTTACTTCGTCATATTTCAAATTTTAAAGAATGCTTCTAGCGAAAAATTTCACGAGGAAACTAATGAAACCACTTTCAGAACCTCAAATTTGTGTAGACACGGAATGGAGATGTTGCATGTGTGAGGAATTTGCGATTTAACTGTTTATTCTTATGTAAAAGTTCGCGAGAAACACGATGGTGCCACTAGTTTTCTCTGAAATCAACTCACAAGCTCAGAAAAAGCTCTCAAGTTGAGGCCAAAATGGAGGGGATATCCCACGCTATCCTGACAGTCCACGTCTCCATTAAGACAAACTCTCCATGCAAAGATAGGGAGCAAATACATTAACAGGGCTGCCACTTTATTTGGGGACTCAAAAACTGAAAACACGGCTTCCCTGCTAATGTATTTTCTCCCTATCTTTGCATGGAGAGTTTGTCTTGGTGTAGAGGTGGACTCTCAGGATAGCGTGGGCCATTTTGGCCTCAACTTGAGAGCTTTCTCTGCGCTTGGGAGTTGATTTCAGAGAAAACCAGTGGCACCATCAAGTTTCTCGCAAACTTTTACATAAGAATCAACAGTCAAATCGCAAATTCCTCACACATGCAACATCTCCATTATGAGCATTTAAAGTTTCCAAATTTCGTCCGACCTCTCCTATTGACTGATCCACTGTGTAACGGTTGCTTCCTCAAGTCGAAGGAGCACAGCATGTGACACACGCGATATGTAATGTGACGATCAATTCATTGACAGGCAGTTCCGCTACCGGTTAATTCGCTGCAACTGCCGCCACTACGTGGATTACCTGAAGTACGGCAAGACCTACGGACGATGGTGGGACCTCTCCTATAATTGGATGAGCGACGACTGCCCTCTATACGCCCCCTTCAACTCGAACTCCAAGGTGAACACCAAAGAGTTTACGCTCTACGACAAGCACAAGATTCCGGCAGAATTAGCACCCCTCGACCGACAAGTCTACCCACCCTCCGCTCAAGTACAGCGCCGACGCCTCAAATCCCAAACCTCAAGTGACTCATACTCCTCTTACGTATGGTTCAATTCCGGTTCGTCCAGTGACTCCTCCGTCCAAAGCACATCCCCTACACGACGTAGATCAACCTCTTCCCCCAATCGCAGGAGAACTTCCACCAGACACAAAAAGGCGTCAAGCCCCACTCTCTCTCCCTCCCACAGCCGTTCCAAATCATCTCCCTCCGTTCATCTTTCGTCCAACTCACGGTCCTCAAGGGGTGAAGTCAAAAAAAGGTAGGTTTCAGTGGCGTGGCGTGCTTTGCGATATATCGATTGATCTGCCATTTAAGGTGATTCGATGGACGCCATATTTCGTCGCCTACCTGACATAAGGGCGTAAGTACACTCTGCCATGAACCCTGTCTTCCATGTAATTCAATGCTTTTCCGGGCTCATCTCAATGTGTAGTTACGCCCTTATGTCAGCCAAGCGACGATTTTGTGTCAAAACGACATGCGATAGATCGCATCAATTAGTTCGGTATTATTACTGGTATAGCACAATCAGCATATAATAATCGGCAAAGGTTGGCAAAAACCTTCTTCCACCAGGCTTCGCCTTTTTTTCATCCTAAGGGTCTCCAATTCTCCATTTGGATGTATTTCTTCCAAACGGAACTGTGTGCATCATGACGTGAGCCCTGTTATGTATATATTCTTATGGGTCTCAGGGCTCATGGCTTAATGCAAATAGTTCCGTTTGGCAGAAATATGTCGATTTGACCCAGGAATGGCAATACTTTCTCCATGAAGGTGCTCTAGACGTATCTATCATGCCCCCCCCCCCCTCAGTAAGTTTTCATGACGTATGCGCAATTAAGACCGTCATTCTCTTGCCTATGCATATAAGAGCTTCGTCGGGCGTCAACGAACGTTCATTGACGTCAAAGTCGATCATGTGGAATGTAAATTGAGAAAATTGTGCGCAAAAGAGTGAACTTCAGATAGTTCTAATGTGCGTGACGTGGTTTTTGTGCTATTTTACCGGTGTAGATTGCACGTGATCAGACGCATCCCCTGTGCGTTCATACAATTCAAGGTCTGTTGTATGAAAGCATAGGAGATACGTTCGCTTTAACGTAGCTTTTTAAGCACTAACGAGTTCTCTACTATTTTTCCTTGCGCGTGCGCGCATCGTTCAAAATACCATTCTCGGCGACCATTTCTAGAGTACGGGCATATTTTATGCGAGAGAGTATTGCCATATCTGTGCCGCTCTGGAATTGGTTCATCAATTATAGCCTTCTTACAGGGCTTTCGTGGTCCAACGTCGACAGACCCAACTCGACGGTGTAAGTTCGAGAAAAAAACCTCGTGCGTGGGACCCAAAGTTTAGATCATATGGATCTCTGAAGTTTTCGGATTGAGCATCCGAACACTTAAGGTCCAGCTGCTGAGGTTTGGATCACACGTCTGAAACTTCAGTTCTTACATCTGAAGTACTTCGGTTTTCACATCCGAAAAACTTCGGTTCTCACATCTGAAGTACTACAGATGTAAGAACTGAAGTTTCAGATGTGTGATCCGAACCTCGACAGCTAGACCTTAAGTGTTCAGATGCTCAATCTGAAAACTTCCGAGATCTATATGGACATATTTCTATCGAACGGACCTAAGCGCCATAGGTTGAGTGAGGAAGGTAGAGGGGGGGGGGGCTTGGATTGGCGGCGGAATAGGGCGTCCGGCCGTCCGGCTTATTCCGTCCTATACTTGCAATGCTTTCCATGGCACTTAGGTCCTTTTGACAGCACGCGCTATCCGTGATTCTAAATTCCTCAAAAGGAACCCAAATTGGCGCTTAGTTCCGTTTGATAGAAATACGTTCATACGACCTAAACTTCGGATCCCACGCACGAGGTTTTTGTCTCCGTGTATTATGTAGTGTATTCTCCGTTCATATTGAACTAACAGCAAAACCCGACAGCGCTGCTTGAAACGTGCGAATCTGCACTCCGCGTAACGACACATGAGTAATCACGCCCAACCCCCACCCCCTCCCCCGTCTACGTTTCAAAAAATAAGTAGCAGCTGCTGGATTCGGGGCGTTGAAAAATTAAACCGGAGGAAACTCATCGAGTATCAACGTCAATTCGTCGCTCCGCTCGCGAACTGGCGTAGCGCGAACTTGGAGACGAGTCCGGTTCTTCGCATAACTCCATGATCTTCGGGGAACGCGGAGGAATGGAGTTACGCTTTTACTACAGTACGGCGACGGATTTATCACCGCGCTGAAACATCCGAACGGTCGTATCTGTAAACCGCGCTTCGGAGAATCTTCCGGTGCGACCTTGGCCTTTTGCTCAACTCCGTTTTTGGGGGAGAAATATATTTTAGAAATGAACCACTAAACAAGGTATGAATTTAAGCACTCTGTTACATGTTTCTGAGCCAGAATTTCGCGTGAAACATATTCTCTCGTCAAAAATTACTGAAATTAACTCCTAACTAAGATATTAACCAGTGGCGGGGCGTGTTTAGCGATATATCGATTGTTATGCCATTGAAATCTATAGAAAAGGATCGATAAACTGGGTGTTCGCAGCGAACACCTTAATGATCGATTCTTTCCCATAGGTTTAGATGGCATAACAATCGATACATCGAAAAGCACGCCACGCCACTGCTTGACTCCGTCTTTTGGGGAAAGATATATTTTGGAAATGGATCACTAGACAAGGTATGAATTTAAGCACTCGTTACATGTTTCTGAACCAGAATTGCACGTGAAACATAGTCTCTCATCAAAAATTACTGAAGTTAACTCCTAACTAAGATATTAACCGGTGGCGTGGCGTGTTTTGCGATAAATCGATCGATCTGCCATATAAACCTACACGGAAAAAACGAGTTTAGGGTTGGGACCTACATGTTAGTGCTGGGCACTAACGAGGGTTAGATCAAATGGAGCCAGCAAGTCAGAGGAGTGCTGGGCACTAAACAGCTCGAGGCTGGGTCACTAAGGAAGAAGTAGTGTCAAGCCCTAAAGTGACTTTGGAGCGAGCGTAAAATATGAAACGCCTCCGCCGGGAATCGAACTCGGGTTGCGCCGGTGGAAGACCAGCGCGTTACCACCAGGCTATCGTGACTCCGACGTCTCGTGGGTGAATTTACACCTGTTAAGCGCAACTACGTCTCGCGGCATCTGATTAGCACTACTCATGTTCAGCGCCCACCTGCACTGCCTTCCGGTGTTGAGCTGTACAGCGCTTAGACGCCAGCCCTCAACTACTCCCCACTAAACGGCCAGTAGTGCTCAACACTAGTCTTGTTTTTTCCGTGTACACTGTTAAAAGTCCCGGCGCGAAATTCACGCTTACTCAGTTGCAGAATGTTTAATTTTGTACCTTTTCTTGTCTAGTGGTCCACTCCGCACCATAAATTTGGTGTGAAAGTCCTTGTCGAGCCGAACGTGGTAGATTTTTCGGAACTATAGCTAAGGATTCACCTTAAACGAAATTTATAATTTTGTGGACGAGCGAAAAAAATGCAAAAGGACGAGCCGCGTTTCGCGAGGGACTTGTCAAGCGCCTTGATGCAACTATACGTGCTCTATGGATGCCCGTGTTGCGTATTCAAATTATTGAAGGCGTTCCAATTTCTCTACCTCTCGCAGATACACGCGTGCTCTTCCTTTTTGCGTTTGTGACCCTGGCTCGGAATTTTTGAGATCCCTCCGGGCAGAGCTGGACATTTTCTAGAGACATGATTAAATGGAAACGGTCACTAAACTATGAACGAATTTCGACTTGCGGATACACTGTTTCAAAGGGAAATAACGCGTATAACACGCTGAGCACATTAAAAACGCGAAAAAAGGCTGCCTCACCAAGAATCGATTGTTTTATATACATTTAAACCCCTATAGCATAGCGATACGAATTTGTAACAACGCATTTTTGGGTTTTTTTAAAAATTGAATCTTTCCTCTGTGGTATGATTTAGCAAATTTTCATTATTTTCCCCTTTTTTCGAATAACCGATACCCTAAAATTTAAAATTTTGAAAACAAATTTGGTACTTTGGGTTTTTTGTGCGAGCTACAAAAAAGATTAGTGCCCCCCAGGATCGGAGATCTAAAAGTAACTCATGCCATAGAGGGTTTAATGGGGAAAAAACAGTGCTCCCAACTTTCAAAAATCGCCACTGTAACGTCGCAAGCTCAGATACGCATAATTTTCGTTTCAGCCTCAATAAGCATAAATACCATCAGCTTTTGATCGTTTTACAATCAAATGGACGTATTTCTGCCTAACGGAACTATAAATATTAAAGCATGAACCTTGAGACCCATAAGAATACATGCATAACAGGGCTCACGTCATAATGCACATAGTTCCGTTTGGCAGAAATATGTCCAAATGTCAACCCTTCTGGCCATCGAATGGCTGGCGCATTACGACTAATCACAGAATAATGGACCACTAGACAAGGTACGAATTTAAGCATTCTGTTATATGATTGTTTACCAGAATTTCACGTAGAACACGATTCGCGCAACGAAAATTACTAAAACCATCTCCTAACGGAGATATTAACATTTTTATTTCACATTGGTCGCGAGGAATTTGAACTGCCCGCTCACAAGAAACTCACAGCTCTACGTGAGTCAAATCGCGCACTACAGCGGTTTCAGCAAGCTTCTCATTCGAGTAATGCTCATTTCCCACCGTGTGTTGTTCCAACTATAAACAATTTACTATAGCTGAGCCAAAGCGTCAAGATTGAGGTTGCCAGATTTTTATATCGTAGAGACTGTCATGATAACGTTTAACGCACGATGTGAATCACGCAGAGCATTGGGTTTTCATGAGCGGGTGGTTTGAATTCACGCATCAAGAATCATTAAATATCTTTGAAAGGAGTTGATTTCGGTAATTTTCGTTGTGCGCGTCATTTTTACGTGAAATTTTAGTTAAGAAGCATATATCAGAATGCTGAAATTCGTGCCTTGTCAAGTGGTCCATTGCTACTCAGGCCATGCTTTAATAATAAAAAAAAAAAAAAAAAACAATATGCAAGAGGATGTTAATATATTTACAATTTTACCTTAACATATAGCATGTAGCAGTTTTGTGGTACTTTTCCCTTTTTCTCTGTTATTATGCATCTTGCCAGTATTTTTTATTATTGTCTATAATGTCTAATATTGTCTAATATTGTCTATAATGTCTATAATGTCCATTCGACTTTATACTACCTCCAAAAAAAAAAAAAAAAAAAAAAAAAAAAAAAAAAAAAAAAAACTACACAGTTCTTACTCGAAAAATTGATGCGCACAATATATTCAACGCTACCGCTTTCCATCAGAGGTAATTTGTTTGCTGAGTATCGTTGCAAGGCCATGCCTGTCACGCCTTCCGAGCAAAACATCCTTAACCTCAGGGTAAACCTCCTGCAGATGCGTGGTTCTTCTTCCTCGCCATTTCTGAAGCCGCTTTACGCGAGGGCGGGCGGCAGTTTAACGAGGTCGAGAGAACTTCCAAAGTGTTTCCTTCCGTTCCTCCTCGAAAGTTTTATTTTCATTTTTTACGAGCTTCCTCAACTTTATATCATGTAAATAAACGTGTCATCGTCCCTTTTTTTCTACGTCGGAGACGGGAGCTCCGATTCCTTTTGTCACTGTTAAGCCCTTTGTAAATCGATTATGAAAGTAAAAAAATTCACGTTCAAATACATAACGACGGAGTAAGTCGGCAATCACATGACTCGTTTGCGGTGTCTGAAAATCTCCGCCTCTATGTATTTTTTAAAGGAGAACAAATTGACATCATTTCTTGACGTTTTTGCAAAACTTTCTTTGCACAGAGAAGAAGAATCACGGCAGTTTTAAAGAATTGCCGTTGAGTAGTTTTCCGTTTAAAAAATAAAGTATGACAGGAAGTCTGCGACGTCGCACACCGAGCTATGTGATTGCCGACTTACACCGTCGATAAGAGGGTCCTAACCGCTACGCGGTCCAACAATGCCGTGCTAAGGAAAAACGCCGTATGTACTTTCAGGCGTTGCCAAATTTTCTTTGATAAAACACGAATTCCCTGGTAAACTTATGAACATTTTTCTTCCAATTTTTCAGTTTGTGAGTTTCAGTTTCATTTTGTGAGTAATTTGATCTAAAGTTCCTAAAAATTTCAAAGAAAAATATTCATGACCTCCCTTAATAATTAATATATTATTGAAAGAAATTTGACAATTCCAAATGCTCATACGGCGTTCTTACTTAGCACGGCAGTGATGTGGTATACGCGCAACGCATGAAGTATCCTGCGGTCTTGTAAGGCGCTACTATGCGCGTTGCTCGCACCACCGCACTGTAGCGTGCACCAAAAAGCGGTTCGCACACTTCTTCGTACACTGGTCGAAAGAGCGAGATTGAATTTAAACATTGAAAAATTTCCCCTCAAAAATTTTACTTTTACGTTCTTTTCGTAGTATACCTAGTAGCGTTTGGGCCACAGTCTTAGAGTCTTATTGCTCTTTTTTGTTTTAGTTAACCACAATGTACAGTCCCTTTCCATTATGTACATACTTAGGGCAGAGATCCCGGCCCACCAATTAGTTCAAAGTGTGTATAATTAAGCTAAAATTAGTACGGTTAATACTCGTATATAAATTGTAGTTCCTTATGATTATAATAAATTATTAGAATAAAAATTATTTTACCTTCCCTAAAAAAGGATAGCTTGAGATACCATCATATGAATGTGAAAATCACAAACAGACTATAATGGTAGGTAAATACTATAAATCTAACCACATTTACCAAAAGTATGGTAAATGAGACACATACATGTTGATTCTTCAATAAATTATTTGCTTCTCAATAATCATTGTCTCATTCATAACCATTTTATTTTCCCCTATTTTTAACAACTTCATAGCTATCCAAAAATGGGGTTCTTCTATCCCACTCTAAGTGCGAGAATAGAATGAAGCGATCGATATCAAAACAGTCCTATTTTTTTCTGAAACGTATTAAATATTGAAAGTCCTAGTCTTTAAATCAGTTGAGAGTCTGTGTTAGAATACCTTAAGGTACGGGGAGAGTACGGACATGTCGATAATTTTGAGGTAAGATCATGGAGTTTTTCTTCTCAGATCTTCATTCCTCAACATGTCCGTGCTCTCCCTATATAGCTACTCTACGCGCATTTGCGCCTACAAACCTAAGTGGATACTTCAAGCATTGTGCAATGCGTGAAGTATCCACTTAGGTTTGTAGGCGCCAGCAAGCCTCTCGCGCTGGCAGCACGCCGCTTCGCTCTGTTTGGCTTTAATATTTATACTTGCATAGTCAGAGTTTTTTAACTCATGATTTTGAAATGTTAGCACACTCTGCATTGATTATTCTCATTTAAATTGATGGGAAAAAATATGTATCAATTTATCAAGGTACGCGGACAAAAAATCGTTGCTAAAATGTCCTGAAACCATCTTCATATTTGTAGCTAATCTAAAAGAATCTAGCATCAAAACACGATTCTGTGCCCAGCGCAACTGACCCATTATCAATGCGAGTAAATCTGAATTTTACGCATTCGAATCAAAAGAAGCAATACCGACGGCGTAAGTCCGTAAGCACGTATCTCGTTAGCGGTGTTTGAAAATCTCCGCCTTTATATTATTTTTTTAAAGGGGAACAAATTGATATCATTCAAAACACAATTCGAATACCAGCACAACTGACCCATTTACGAGAACAACATTGGCGGATCCAGCAAATTGGCAACATCGTCTTTTCTCCATTTAAACTTATAGAAATGCATCGATTCTTGGAGGGGCCAGGTGTTCCGACAAAACTCGATTATTTAGCATAGGTTTAGATGGAGGTAATCCGGTGTTGCCAGGTTGCTAGAGCCGCCTCTGGAGAACATGTGTCTAGTTTTCTTGGTAAAGCTCATTCCCTGATTTTTCCCTGATTTTCAGGAGCTCATTCCCTGATGAGTAACCGAAGTTTTCTCCCACTTTCCCGGGATATTCTTGGGGAAGAGAATATTATTTTCCAGAGTTTCAGAAATGAATATCGATTTTAATTAATCTCTCAGCCATTTCTTTGGCGCACATTCAAAATTTTAATTCAAAAAATGTTCCTGGGTGTTCCGAAATGATCCCTGAGTGGTTGGAGAAGAGATTCCCGGTTTCTGGAACAGATTCCCTGATTTTCCCCTGATTTTCCTGGTAAATTTTCATTCCCTGCGGACTGATTAGTGAAATTGATAAACAAAGCTACAGACAAAGAAGACATAGGGAGTATGGAGCGATCCTATTGGTTGAAATGGGTGGTTTCTCCAAGGAGAGGGTGGTTTCTACAAGGGAGAAAACGATAGACTAACTGTCGGGTCTCTCGTGGGTTGCCGTTACTTAGTCTATTACCTACCTCCTTTGTCCATTGCAACCACCCGCTTCCACCAATAGAATCTCTCCATATCTCTTTTGTCTCCTTTGTGTATAGCTTTGTCTATCAATTTCAATAATCGGCCGGCAGGTGAATCCCGGTTTTCCCCGGTTTTTAAAAACTAGACACCATGCTGGAGGACAAGCAAGAAACCTTACCTGAACATTGTGATCCAAATGGCAGGAATTATCGATGCTGACGCGTCCTTTATGTACCCTTAGCGTGACGTCAGACCTCGTGACGCGCGTCCCGTCGAGGAGGAACCGGGAGTGGCGTATCGCGGCGCGGTAGACGAGGGAGTAGAGCACCAGTATGGCGAGCGCGGGGAGGTAGAAGGAGCCGCAGGCGGAGAAGACGACGTAGCCGAGCTGCTTGTTGACGTGGCACTCGCCCGGCTGGAGCTCCTGCCGCCAGCCGAGGGAGGGGGCCATGCTGATGCCCAGCGCCAGCGCCCAGATCCCGGCGATGAGGGCGCGGACGCGGCGCCGGTTCAGGATCCGCGAGTAGCCGAGGGGCCGCGAGACCCCGATGTACCGGTCCAGGGAGATCCCGCACAGCGAGAGGATCGACGCCGTGCAGCAGAACACGTCCATCGTCGTCCAGACCACGCAGAGGGTCGGCCCGAACAACCACCGACCTGCAACATACGAGAGCACATTAATGGTCATTTATGTATTTAAAGAAATCAAAAGTTATGATTTAATAAATTCTAACCCAGGATGGAAGATTGGACCAGGCCATCAAGAAGAGGAATATGCAGGGTAGGAGGGCAATCGTTATGTTGAATGGAGTCCTTTGGGATCAAAGGATCTCCAAAGAGAGCAAAAGAAGGATTTACAACGCGATTGTCAAGAGCATAGTAACCTACGGGTGTGAAGTATGGCCGATGAAACAGCGGACCCGGGAGGTTTTAGAGGCAACAGAGATGGACTTCTGGCGTAGATCCGCTGGTATTTCTAGAAAGGATCGCGTCAGGAATGAGACGGTACGGGAGATCGTGGATGCCACGCAGACCATCGTGCATGACATTATGACAAAACAACTGATTTGGTATGGTCATGTCCAGAGAATGGCAGGAGACAGGTTGCCGAAGAAGGTCCTCGACTGGGTTCCTCCTGGGAGAAGACGCAGAGGGCGCCCAATGAAAGGTTGGAGGGAAGGGATTGAAGCGGAAATGTGAAGGTGCTCAATCCCCCAAGATTTGTGGTTTGAAAGAGAGCAGTGGAGGTTAGGAGTCGTAGAGCGCGAGGGAGTGCTGTAAAGCGACTTATATGTAAGAAATCAAAAGTTATGGATTGATAGAATTAATGGTTGATAAGATGACGGAAGAGCGGCTGCTAAAGAGGGCGCTTGATTGGGTTCCTCCTGGGAGGAGACGCCCAGTGAGAGAGTGGCGACAGGGGGTTTTAAATGAGATGAAGGAGTGTCAACTCCAGTGTTGGAAACTCACAGGCGCCAACGCGCCAAATGCGCCTAAGAAATCGGTCATGACTGTACTTACGGGCTATATAAACATACCGTCTGCGTTCCGGACTTGGAGGCCGAAAGTACCGGGTGTGGCACCCGGAGCAATTGAAGCTACGGCTTGAACTTTACTTTAATATGGAAATAGAACATTACATTATTATTTGCAACTTCTACTTTTTTTTCTTCTTTTTTTTTCTCTTTTTTTTACTACAGGTTTTTACTGATGTCAGTTTTTAGGTTTCAACAAGAGTTCATAATATTCCTGCTGTGTTAGCTGTACCAGGTACAGCCGCAACATATCAGTGTACCTTTTGATGTGCGAAACAGTTTCATACAAAACAATCATTGCCTATTTCAGTAAGAAGCCCCCATAGTGACGTCATGCCTGAAGGAGTCCGCACAAATCGATCCAGGACAGTAAGTCACCGGCCACCCAAAAGACCCACTCGCATAGTCAACTAATGGCGATCCGAGCGTGGAAAGAAATTAATCCGAGAGGCGGCGAGGGGTTGCATTCTGAGCCCCCGCCGCACGGTGGAACGAGTCAATCAGACAGGTCGGACATGAGATTTTTGAAGAAAACTGCAGATTTTGATGTTTATTTTATCACATTTTACATTTCAAAGGGTGCTCCAAGCAGAACATTTCACGAGGAAACCAGTAGAGCCACTTTTAAGAACCTCAAAGTTTTGAATGTGACGCAGGCGATTAGTCAAATTCATCAAATGCCTAGGCAGATTGTCACATTTTGACATTTTACGAAATTTTGTTAAGAGTAGGATGATGAGCTTACGAATTTTTAATATCTTGGGGGAAAATAACGCATTAAATCCACAAACTCTCCTTGTTCCTTCCTTTTCAAGTGCCACTCATATATTTAAATGTTGAAATTTCAAAAAAAAATAACATTTTAAGACACTGAACATTTCAAGATCCATGTTCGTTCAGGAGCTAAAAGTCGTTTGAGATGCTATTTTATGATGCACATTTTTACGGAGAATTTTTTCTTACGAGAGCAATGAATTAGGTATTGTGTCTCAAATTAGCAAAAGAATCGGAATTTTAATCTAAGTAAGAATATTTGTGTATTCGCCCAGGCATTTGACAAAATACCTGACTTGCCATTGGTATCTTTTTATTACAGGAAAACTGTGCCGCTTTTTGATTGGTCAACGAGTTTTTAGGCTTCATGATGCCGTAACGGCCGTAAATAAACAAACAAAATGGCGGCTCACCGTAACAACGATAAGAAGCTAAAATTTGACAAAACTTTCAATTATACAGCAGTAACAATTTAAACCAGCATATCTACGAATAACACATGAAAAACACATTAAACAACTGTTAAATCGCCTTTTGCCTTTATCACGGGAGGGTGTAAGATGTGCATAACCTCAAACTTGCTTGCTGATAACAGCCATCTTGTTTGTTTATTTACGGCCGTAAGAACACCGTGTCAGCCTATTTTCACGCGACCAATGAAAAACCGGCACAGAAATGGCCATACTCTGTCTATAAAGGTACTCTAGACTATTTACCCGCGACATATAAACGGAGTTATGAGCGTTCAAAGTTTCCAAATTTTGTCCGACTCTCCCCTTGACTCGATCCACCGAGCGCCGCCCCCGCGAATCGCCCCTGCGCGACGGAGATGAGAGCGAGCATTAAGGACGTAGACACTCGTAAATTCGGCAGTTAAACGCAGGGTCCATCGGGATGACGTGACGTCAAGGTCCGGTCCGGNCCCCCCCCCCCCTCCCAGTCCCACCCCCGCCCGAATTGCATTCTTCGGGATCGTCAAGCGTCCCAAGATCGTCGCTTCTCCGATGTAAGGGCGTATCTGCGTTTTCACATGAGCCCCAGAAATCATGGAGATAAATGAACGACAGGGCTCACGTGGAAATGAAAATAAGCCCTTGCGGGAGAGGAGCGATGAGATCACCGCTGACCACCAGCCTGACCACTCCGCACCTAATGTTCCATCATTGACTCGTATCTTCGTTTCCTGACTTAGCTCTTAGCCTCAGTTCACCCTTATCAATCTGTAGATCGAAGAGCTGAATGCTGGCAAGCGGCCCAAATGCGCGGGTGGTTTTTATCTCCTTAAAAAAAAAAAAAGTTTACCTAATTTTTTTCGTAGCAACTAGAATTAAGAAAAAAAACCCCGCTGGAAGCTTTAATGAGCCCTCTAACTGCCGTGCTAGGGAAGAACGCCGTATGAGCATTCGAGAGTTGCCAAATATCTTTCAATAAAATGTTTATTATCGAGGGAGGCTATGAATATTTTTCGTTACATTTTTAGGAATTTTAGATCAAAATACAAACAAAATTCTCTGGAAAATTGGAAGAAAAATATTCATTAGTTTACCAGGGAATTCGTGTTTTATCAAAGCAAATTTGGCAACGCCTGAAGGTACGTGCGGCGTTTTTCCTTAACACGGCAGTTTAGTCGTGCGTCATGGAGTTCAACTAGTCGTTCCCCTCATTATAGAACGTAAATACATTTCGATGTTGCCAAATTGCTCTTTGCAAATTGCATTTCTACTAGGAGAATATTATGGACATTTCTAACTGAAAATTTTACCGATTCTCCTCCTAATCTCATGCAATAGTCAGAAATGTTTTTGACAAAAATTGTCTCTGCTCCCCCCCCCCCCCNCCCCCCCTCCGCAGAGCAGCAATCGGAGAAACGATATTTCACAAACGGACTATCCCTGGTAAAAATTGGCAGTAGAATCTGTGTTCCAAAATACCATAAACCTACAGCCGGCTGTAAGATTTCCAATAGCTTCTATAGCCGGCAATGCAATTTCTTATAGCCTTTTATAGCCGATGACGATTAAGCAACAGCCTGGCGATGGAGTGAATTCTAAACGTTACTAATTATGGATGCTAGGACTTAGTGAGTTTTTGGACTACCGCTCTCTTTTTGGGCCGCAGTATCTTGATTTAATTTGCAAGGAAAACTCCGTACTATTGAAGGATGCCTGCCGTTCCTAATAGGTTGGAGCGCCTTCAATTTCGTATGATACTGTGCAATACCTCTGGTGTGAAATAGTTGCTTCAAGCGCCGCACGGTGGATCGAGTCAATGGGAGGGGTCGGTCATCGCGCATCACGCGTCTTATTTTCTCTGATTACAGAGATTTTCCGCTCTTAGAATAGAGCAAAGTACCTGCATCTGATGTATTTTCCGCCGTAGATTCCATTTTTTATCATATTTCAGCCGAATAACGAGTTTTAATACGACTTTGACACACTTTTTCATAACTATTGAAAATAGCATCCTTGATAGTTTATTTTTCACGTTACTTTCGGCGAATGAGCCCGTAAGCATCTTACATNCTTCCTTGCTAAGGTGTTCCTTTCCCTGATAGCTTGATCCGTCCTTCCATCCTGGGTCAACCGCACTCCCAAGTACTTAAAGTGCTCGCAGCCTTTGATCTGCTGCCCATCCTCCAACTCAATGCTTTGCTGATCACCGCCAAAAGTCATCTTCTCAGATTTGGATATGCACACTTTTTCATAACTATAGAAAATAGGATCCTTGATAGTTTATTTTTCACGTTACTTTCGGCGAATGAGCCCGTAAGCATCTTACATAAAGAAGAATTTTGCAGATCTTGTCTCAAAGACATTACTTGAGGAGTGAGGGAGGGCGGCTTCACAGGCCTCTCACCACGAAGGTTGCCATATTTCTTTCAATTTCTGCTAACATCGTTTTTTGTTCATGTTAATTGGTTTCTCGCAATTGCATACTGACACGTATACGGAACATTCTGATAATGCTCATTTTTCTTCTCTTTTCTTCAAGTCAGTCAATAGACGTTTTCATTTTCATGAGCCCTCTACTCTTTCAGTTACTCAACAAATATGCATATTTCAAATAATAGATCAATATATTAAAGAAATAAAAAAAGAGATGTATATACTGTAGCTTCTTTTTATCGAGTCATCCTAAAATATTATTATGGGTAAGTACTTACCACAAGATATAAAAAATTGAATGTGCAGTAAAAAAATAATAATAAAAAATAAATAAAAAAAAAAATTATATCATCTTCCATTATTTCGTTTTGTTACTCGAAGTTTGGAGTGAAGTTTGAAACATTTTTATTGAAAAAATATTAAAATAGGAGGAAATTTATTTTTCATGCAAGTTCTGATCCCT